ATGATACAATATATTTTCACTATTACCAAGGGATTTGAGAAAAATTAGATTTTCGACCCGCCCTAGTACTAAATGTGCTTATTACATAACGTTTTGCTGTCGAAAATGACCCCTGGTCGTGGGCACGGGGCTCAAACCGTGGCCAGCGAATTATCTGAGTGGTCGACATTCGTCAGTAATTTATTATATTCACTGCAAAGAGCATAATACTCTCCCCTACGAAATCCTCGTCATCGCCTTTTACCACCTGAACAAAGGCTACAGTTTAGAATTCATGTCGATGGCAAACCAATCCCGACGGTGAATAACCCTAAAATTCTCGGACCGCAATTGTCAACAGAGTACAGAGCCGCAACAAGGTCCTCAAGTCACTAGCCGGCAGCACCTGCGGCAACGACAAAGAAACGCCGTGTCGCCATTCCCAAGACAGCCGGTTCTTCGTACCGGAATGACTCGGGTTTTACCCGACCAAGGGCTGTTGTTTCGGCGACCTAACCCCGCTTAGATCGGCGATACCCCTCAATCATTGTTCGTCCATGGAGCAACTCCTTGCAGCCGGATTGCTCCGCATCCTTCTACTCCGGGCGGGCGTAGAGCCCAACCCCGGACCAGAAACGTATTTCTGCTGTGTTTGCCAGAATCGACTCCATCCAAACTCCACTTCGGTTAGGTGCACTTCATGCAACGGATGGAGTCACCTAAGAACCTGCTCTGGTCTTAGGTCTCATCGGGAGTGGACCACAAGCTATGTGGCTCCCTGCTGCTCAAGCCAAACGGCACAATCAGCCTCCACGGCTACCCGCTCGCGCAACGGACCCAACACCTGAAGAGCCTGCACGGCTCCAGAAGCTCCTCTGGGCAGCAGCAAACCTCCCAACCTCCCCCTCCCCCACAGTCTACCGGCCCGTCGAACTCGCGCGTGCGAGCCAACCAGCAGCTCCTGGTTGCACACACCACCTGCACCGTAGAGCAGAGTATACCGGAACGTGACATCGCTCAAATGCAACTCATGCCTTGGCTGGTGTCACTTCCGCCTATGCTCCGGTCTACGCACCACGCGCGAATGGACTGCGAACTACAGTGCCCCATGCTGTAGAGCACCGCTGACACAGACAACAGCGCCCTCATAGCAGCCACCTACCAACAGGCAGCAACAGCAAGCGCGTAGGATGCAACAGGCCCAAGGTAGACCTCACTCCTCCCGACTTTGCTCCCGCGGACCACCGAACCTACACCAATTTCAACAAAGCTGATTGGGACGGCTTCGCGGAAGTTACCGAGAGCAGCTTCGCCGCCCGAGCAGCTTCGCCGCCCGAGCAGCTTCGCCGCCCGAGCAGCTTCGCCGCCCTTCCCACACCCACAAACATACATACTGGCGAACGCCAGTTCCGCAGGGTAGTCACTGCCGCAGCGGCTAGCTTCATCCCGTCCGGACGTATCGCGGAAGTCCGCCCAAATTTCCCGGCCGAAGCAGCTGTACTAGCAAATGAGCGTGACCACCTACGCCAGGTCGACCCCGGGGACCCTCGTCTGAGGGACCTTAATTTGGAGATTCGGCAACTGGTAAATCAGCATAAGCGGAAAAAGTGGGAGGAGCACTTGAAGGCCTGTAACTTCACATCTGGTGTGAGTAAGCTCTGGTCAACCGTGAGGTCCCTGTCTAACCCAACGAAGCGTGATGACAGAGTGGAAATCTCTTTCGAAGGTCGCGCTTCGTTGGACCCGAAGAAATGCGCAGCCTACTTTAGTAGGCAATTCACACTGCATCCTTCGGTAGACAGGGCCAAACGTTGAGTGACCAGGAGGCTACACAAATTGTCTAAAAACAGTGCAGCACTTGTTTTCACAAGCGGTGAATTTAAAGGGGTCATCGGGAAGGCGAAAGCCTCCAAAGCCATTGGACCCGACGAAATCTGTATGCTGATGCTGAAACATTAGGGGCCCGTGGGAGTAGCATACCTAACGGAGGTCCTCAACCTATCAATGACCACTCTCATCATTCCGGATGTGTGGAAATCAGGGAGAGTGGTCCCACTGCTGAAACCGGGGAAGCCCGCCAATAAAGGAGACTTATCGCCCGAAAACGCTCCTTTCCCCGGTCGCGAGGACACTAGAGGAACTGTTACTCCCATAGTACTTCACCTGCCCCCCTGACCCCAGCGAAGCATCAGCATGGGTTCCGTAAAGTGCACAGCCCAACAACAGCACTTAACCCCATAAACACCCAAATAACTCTTGGTCTAAATCGCAACCGCCCCTGTGAGAGAACGGTCCTAGTAGCGTTGGACTTGTCAAAGGCGTTTGACACCGTCTGCATTCCACGTTGCTAGAAAACATTGAGGCCTCTTCACTCCCACAGGGACTGAAGCGATGGTCGGCGAATCATATGAGTGGTCGACGGTCGTCAGTAATCTTCGGAGATTAAACCTCGAAACCAAGAAGAATAAAACAAGGGGTTCCACAAGGTGGTGTTTTCTCCCCCCTTACTGTTCAGCTTCTACATATCGAAGCTCCCCCAGCCACCTGACGGAGTTTCCCTGATCTCGTAAGCTGGCGACTGCTCGATATTGGCGTCTGGGAATGGAATTGATGACCTCTGCTCAAAAGTAAATGGCAACCTCTCCAGCCTTTCTCGCTTCTTCACTGCAAGGAGCCTAACACTCTCCCCAACGAAATCAACGGCGACCCTCTTCACCACCTGGACGAAGGAGGTCAGACTAGAGTTAGGTATACACGTCGATGGCACACCAATACCGGCTGTAAACAACCCGAAAATTTTAGAGGTCAATTTCGATAGCCTGCTCTCCTACTCCACGCACACAACCGCAGTTGTCAATAAAGTACAGAGCCGCAACAAGGTCCTCAAGTCGCTCGCCAGCAGCACTTGGGGCAAAGACAAAGAAATGTTGCTGGCAACATACAAGGCAATTGGCCGGCCGGTTCTAAACTATGCTGCGCCAGTTTGGACGCCGGGGACTAGTTGGACGCAGTAGACGAAGCTACAGACTTGTCAGAACGCCGCACTCCGGACAGCGACTGGGTGCCTTCTGATGACGCCTGAGCACCACCTACACTGCGATGCCCAAGTGCTCCCCGTAAGGGAACACAACAAAATGCTCTGTAAGCAATTTATGGTGGGGTGTCACAGAAGTGAACACCCAAACAGACCTTTGCTTCAGGAGGAGCCTCCGCCCAAGCACGTCAGGGGGCACCTATTCGTATACAAGGACGCAGTCCAACAATACGTAGACCAACCACTGGACCCGGCGACATACAGACGAGCCATCAACGACATCCATAGAGAGTCAGTTACCACCTACTTCGACTCTCGACCTATGAATGCCGTAATAGGAGCCCAATCACCACCTGTAGAAGAGACGGAGCTGCAATTGCCAAGAGAGACCCGCGTTACCCTGCCTCAATTACGGTCTGGATACTGTAGCCGCCTCAACAGCTACCTATCCAGACTCGACCCCAATATCCCCAATGATTGCCCGGCATGTGGAGAATTCCCCCACGACACCAACCACCTCTTTACATGCCAGCTCAATCCGACTCAGCTAACACCCCTCTCCCTCTGGTCCGAACCCATTGAAACAGCTCGTTTCCTGGGCCTCCCGTTAGTTGAGCTTGACGAAAATGATTGAACGTAGACCCGAAAAAAGCGGGGCTTAGTAGTGCCGCTACAACAACAACAAACGCCGTGTCGCCGGGGACTAGCAGGGTGCAGTCCACGAAGCTACATACATGCCAGAACACAGCACTCCGGACCGCAACTGCATGCCTTCTGATGTCGTCACAACACCACAACAACAACGAGCATAGCACAATGCTCTGTGTAGCAGTTCCTAGTAGGGTATCACAGACGCGGGCAGCGGAAAAGACACCTCTTTGCAGCATAGTCCTCGCCAAGGCACTTTCAAAGGCATCTATACTAACAGACGGACGAAGTTCAGAGGTTTATAAAGCAACCTGTGGACCTGACAGTATGCTTACAGGCCACAAACGGCATTCACAGGGAGTTGGTCTCGAATTACACCGACTCTCGACCTGCGAATGCCGTTTTGGGAACACAACCACATGACGTGGACGTGATAGAGCTTCGCCTGCCTCGGGAGACTTGCGCCACTATAGGCCAACTTCGCTTTGGCTACTGCAGCAGGCTAAACTCTTACTTGAGCAGGTTAGATGCAGATGTACTCAACGAGTGAGCGGCATGTGGAGAGAAACCCCATAACTTAAGAAATCTCTTCGAATGCCCCCTAAAACCGCACTTAACTAACACCCTATGGGGAAACCCAGTCGGAGTTGCAGGCTTCCGGGGTCTCCCGTTAGTTGAGCTTGACGACATCGATTGAGGAACAAGCCGATCTAGGCAGGGCTGAGTAGCCGGTACAACAACAACAACAACACGATCCGTATGCGCCACTTGGAAGCTGGCAAAACTCACAAGGTCCAAGTTACGGTTTGGAGTTTGAGTTGCGATTGAGGTTGGTTTCGCAGTTATGCTCATAAATTCGGCTTTCCTCGTTATCTTACTCATGAATACGTTGAGTTCTAGTAGGCTAGTAGTAGGGGCCAGCCCATGTACCGATCTATACGAGACCGTGGAGGCCCATTGGGTTATAATCCATACAGGAACCGTTGCGGGATTACCCGTGAGGGGTAATCGGCTTTTCAGGCGCCCGCTTTTCAGATTTCCAGCACTTTATACAGCCTATAAAGATTTATATTGCGTCGTGAGCGCTGCAAGCTATAACGCCTAAAAGGCTTGGTGTGGAGTTCTACTGTAAAGGCCTGAGTAGGCCTTCAAATGGCTCTATCCACAGCTCACTGACGAGAAGATTGGGATGAAGCCTCCAAAAATACAGATTTGGGTTCTAATAGTAGCCCCGATCAAAAAGAAATGCAGCACTGCTGCAAGATATCGCAATGAGGACCAACTTAGTTTGTACGGACAATAATTGCAGTCTTTCTATGTCTTGTTTTTTCATACTTACCAAAATTGTAAATACTGAAAATTCGACATACGCAAAGCGATGATTTTAGCTATGTCGCCAGCTAAATTGTAAATCATTTTTGGATCATCTGTGATGATCTTCTCCTTTACCAATTCGATATCCTTGACCCAATCCGACTCGCTGTCAGCAATGGTTAGCGTCTCATATATACACGATATTTCGAGTGTCTTTTGTAAAATATCCACGGATACCTGCCGAACTGTGCCATTCGAATCAATGCAACGGGGCACAATTTTACCTAACATCTGACCAGTTTGATTGAATTTTGAAGGAGCCTCACATCCTATTTTCATTGATTTTATATACACTTCCAGCGCATTATTGAAAACATGTGAAGCACATATGCGAACTTCTGAGTTTTTATCCCTAGTCCAGGTCTCCAAAATCGAAATGATTAGATCAAGTGTCGAAGGAGATGGATCCGTTTCTATGATCGCTTTTGCGAGGGCATTTAATTCCGGTAGTGATTCATTCAAGTGCTTCGCCAGAAAACTATTACGTTCATCTTCCTCCGGTGAATCAAATTTAATTTTCAAATGCTGTGCACATGAGAAGAAATTCTTGCAAGCAATTTCGAAGATAACACTGCCGTCAACTGATTCTGTGGCATCGACTCCTCCTGCAAATAAAAATACATAAAAATAGATTGGGCGAGTTATAAAGGTGAAATATCGTACGTAAATTTGTATGTATTTAGATTTACATGTTTTTTTCTGGCCATATTTTTTTAATGTGATTTCCAACAATAAAGTTCACTGAAGAATAATAATCACATAACCAGACATCCTAATAATCAGGAAGGTATAAATTTCTGCATATATTGGAATTAGTGCACTGTGAAATATTTAAGCGGAAAACGATAATTTTCAGGATTTTTTGTTTTAATTTCGATGTGAAATGTGTCGTCAGAATTCGCCATCTACAACTATGATTTAAAATAAGATGAGCTAAAAATATAGAAGTCATTTACCTATGCGTATGAAATCGGTGCCCAGTTTTAAAATTGTTGGCAGTAACGGTAAATCATTGAACGGCGCTTCAATGGGTATGCTGAATACCGCCTCCATTATCTGCTTCCGATACTTTAGCGGTGCAGTCATTTGCTCTTTCGTCGCAATTATTTGATTACAAATACTTAGTAGAGTCTTCAGAATGGCAGACATAATTGTCTGATCTTTCGTGCCTGTCAACTGCATGATTAGAAAATTTAGTATTGTATCGTCGAGGTTCTGCAGCGACTGCAAGGGATCCGATTCATTCAATATATGCCCGAAGGACTTGATTACCAGCAAATTCGTCTTGTACATTTCCTGCTCCTTATGAGTGTCTTTGATAAAGTGCAAATTGCTGAAAAAGCCAGTCGAGTGCTTGCGACCACCAATGTGTGCCAGTTCAGCCAATTTTTTAATTAAATGGAACAGATGCTTGCGAGAAATGTAACCCAGTGCCAAAGAACACGGGGCGATTTTCTGATCATACTCTGCATGCTTTATATGCTTGTCGAGCTTTTCTTGACGTGCGGAATTAATGATCAGATCGATTTTCCCATTTATCGTCTGCAATTCGCTGACAAAACATAGTGCCAAGCCGAGCGATTTCAACAACATACCTCGCTCGATTGATAGGGTGGGCGTTACAAATTCAGTGTGTGGCGTGTTTATTGGATAGAGATTCAACTGATCTGACATTTTGTTAACTAGCCGTTCGGCGAAATTCTCATCATGAGTGTTCAGGAATTCCACTGATTCAGAGATGAAATCTATTAGCTTGCGTGAGAAAACCGGCTCCTTATTAATGTGTAGCAACAGGTCGGGGACGCGCTCATCCCACAGTGTATTCAGAACTGGGTTCAAATGCGGATAATAATATTTTAAGAATGACAATATGTTCGAGGAGCGTTTAATACAATGAAAATTGCCTAAAAGCGCTAGACATCTTGCAAATATTGATTCTGGGTATGGTACAATTATTTTTCCGCATTTGATATTAGTGTGGCTACTTTCCTTACCATGCTCTTCCCCAGCGCCGTCGGCCCTTTCCTCGGTCTCATCGTTAGCCGCAATTTCATACTCGATGCTTGGCGACTTGGCAAAAAGGCTGCCTAAACATTTGGCCAGGTTCGAGCATATATCAGTGTAGTCCAACAATACGAAGTAATTAAGCAGCTCGCGCTTCAACAATTCGTCCATTGTGCCAACAGTGGACGACAGCATAAAAAGAGAGTTCTCACACGAGAGTACAAAATTTGCGTGTTCCTCCAGCGACCCGTGCTCTTGGTTCACCTTCGTGTATTTACAACTGTAGCGCACTATAAACCAAACGAACTCCTTCTCTTTGATAAAACCTTTCTGCGATAATGCCACTATGGTCTTCAGCAAAGTCATCTTCATTTTAATTCCCTTTTCCGTCATGATCATCGATTTGAGACACTCCAAGAAACCTTGCATCTTATCTTCGATATACGCTGTGGACGTATTCATCAGATGGGTGAGTATCAATAGCGATTTAATACGATCTCTTTCGCTGTTGTTGCGTAAGTGTATCAATAAGGTGTCAACAATTTTCGATGCATAAATGCCTGACAGCAGATGAAAACAACGTAACACTTCATAATGCCCCTTTACAGTCTGTGGCTTTTCATAGTCTGGGAATACGCACACCAAATCGAAGAGATTTGAAATCAATTGATCGGCCACCGCATCTAGCACTGACGGCTGCAGTGCTATGTTTGTTTTCAATACCGACGAGAGGAATTGTGTCACTGAGTTTCGCTCGATGGAGCGGCGGTATAAGGCCAATATTTGTGGTATTAAACGCGGAGACTGGTCTTGTATCTTATCGACAGGCAGCAGTGGGTACATTGAAGAAAGCGCTTGCAGTATTTCGACACATACTTTGGGTTCACGCGAATGCAGCCATTGATTGAAAAGTACATCGTAAGCAACAGAAATTTCGGTAGCACAATCGCCTTTGCCGTCTGCAGTTTGCGTTGGTGCATCCGAAGCGGACTCCATTTCGCCATTAATGGGGCTAGTTGCGGTTGAGACGGCAGCTGCTGCGCCATGTGCTGATGATTGCTCCAGTAGAGCTTCACTGAAGTGTCCAATAGCTGCAATTGTAAAGAGAAATTAGATTCATCTGTATACAATCTACTAAAAGTGATTCGAAGGATCTACCATATGCATGAGCCTGCTTGATGTGATCGTGCTTGATGCCACCCAGATTCGGCAGTATGGTTGCGAGTATGGGCTTAATAAAAGGTACAACGTGCGGAACATTCGCCGTTGCCATAGCTCCTAAGCAATGCATGACCATGAAATGTGCCACCGCACCTTCTTTTGTGTGTGCCATTAATGCTTCCATTACCGCGTTGCACTCTTTCCGGCCAATGGCCACTAAAATGGAGAGTGCATGCTCTTGGATGAGTGGTTGGTGCTCAGCTGAGCGTGTCAACTCCTCTACGGCCAAAGTTATGAGTTGTTTATTCGCCTCTGATGGTATTTCGGTGTCTGAATTTACCAGTCGTTCGACGGCTCTGCAATTAGTAAAGTGTTGATTTATTGTCAGGATATAAATGACCGTCTATTAAGTGTTATTGTTGTTGTTGAAACAGTTTATAATTTCCGCAAATACCTTTTGGGGAATCTGCTGGAGTGGTAGTCTTTGGTCAGATATAGATATGGGTCGTTCCAATTTGGTAGCCCCGACTGTCGCACCATGCGGCCTCTGCCACAAGAACGTGCAAAAAATTAAAAACTTAATGAAAGCGTTCGATACATAACATGTACGTGGAAAGATTACGAAAATCCTGCATCTGAAAATGGCTGCTACAAAAGATACATATGAGTATCTACATCAGTAATTCCCAAAGTGGTCCAGGTGGACCCCCAGGGGTCCACGGGAAACTCGACAAGAGTCTACGTCGGCGTGAAAAAATATGGGGTCCACGAGTTGTAAGTGGGGATCCATGAAAATTTATCTGGTTTCGATAGTAAAGAACCAACTTTATTTAACTTACATTTTTTTGAGTGGTGTATAGTGCACTGAACGCACTGCTGCACTTACCGCCACTTTGTGTCTTAATACGTGAGGAAGCCTTAAAGGCCAACTGCAGACTAAAAAGAAACGGATGTTGGTATAACACTGAGTGGGGCGAGGTAGAGCACTTTTGAGCACTTGTGGCTTTTCAAGGCCACTAGATAGTACGCCACTATTGCCTTTGTTGAGAAGATTCTATGCATAGTGTTGAGTTCCCTGAGGTTGAATGCTGATTTAATTTCAGCACTGAGCCCAGACTCACAAATTGCCGAATCTTCCCTGATGGCGCCAAAACTGACTCTAGGTCAGGATGTGGGGTCTTTTTCGAAGTTAATACGGATAAACTTTACTTTTCTCTTCAGGAATATGCTTCGGTTTTCCAGGTTGAGGTAGTTGCAATCCTCAAAGCCATGGACTCGTGGTAGAAAATAGGTGGAGGGGAAGGAGTTTACGTGTATGCATTGACAGCCAAGCTATACTTAAAGCATTCTATCTAAGAACTTCCAAACTAGTTCGGCAAAGCAAGTCTCGACTAAATTATGTTGGTAAACATAACAAGCTTGCTTTACTCTGGGTGCCAGGTCACTCGGGAGTACCTAGTAATGAGACATCTGACCAATTGGCACTCTTCGATCTGCAACCACTTATAGCAGGCGGGACTGCAGACAACTTGCTGGACTGCTGACTGGTTACTTCACGTGGCACATTACGTGACTGTAATAGGCGTAAATGACAACTCCATTTGCCCATCCTGCCTTGAAGAGGATGAAACGGTGGAACACTTTTTGTGCTCCTTGATTCGGTCTTTTCTGTATTGTTAGTTTGTGAATTTAAAGTTTGACGTAAAAAGCTTTGCGGTTTTATTGTATAATTTTGCGTGTGTTTAAAATTGTGAGTGATAAATATTTTTCGTATCACTTAAAAACTCGGAGCGATACAAATAAAAATGATGCCATTAATATAAATAAACTATTTTAAAAATACGGCACATGCAAATTCATGAGTGAGCCGAACATGTGAGGAGTTTATGGTGAGGAGAATATAAATAACGCTAGCGCTCGGAGTTCTCTTAAAAAATATAACTTCTCAGAGCGAGAGAGTGCCCTGTTTTTTAAAACTTTCAAGTGTGCAAAAAATAGAACACAAGAAAATATTTTATTGTTATTTTTTCCAAATTTACATCGTTAGATCTCATCTTCACTATTTTTGGCGAGCTTTGGGAATATGTTAGATGTAGCACCAGGGGTCCTCCGAAACCAGTAAAGTTTTGAAAGGGGTCTACCAGACAAATACGTTTGGGAACCTCTGATCTACATGCTTGTAATATTCGGCTTTATCTAAATTTGTATTAAGTATATCGAGCCGCTGTGGTGTAGTGGTAAGCAGTGCGCGCTTCCACTCCGCAACACCTGGGTTCAAACCCTGGTCAAAGCAACATCGCAAAAAATATAGAAAAAAGTTTTTTTCTTAACAGCGGTCGTCCCTCGGCAGGCAATGGCAAACCTCCGAGTGTATTTCTGCCATGAATAACAGCTTCTCATAAAAATACAATCGCCGTTCGGAGTCGGCGTAAAACTGTAGGTCCCTCAGCTCTGTGTGACAAAATCAAGGCGCACGCCACAAATCGGAGGAGAAGCTCGGCCAAACACTAACATAAATATGTGTAAGCGCCAATCTATTATTATATCGAGCCCTCACCGCCAAAAAGAGGTAAGCGGCATTTTTTTTTCAAATGTTTTCTTTGATGCAGAAATGCATCCAGATACTCTATGAGTATTTCTGCATCAAAAATAAAATTTCGAAATTACATCTTTTCGGCGGTTAGGGGTCGATATACATGTTATTCTTTTTCATGTTCACCATTGTACATTTAATAGCCAAAGATTCAATAAAAGCAGTGCCAAATAATACTTCTACGATCGTAAACTTATTGCTACTACCTATTAGATGCGGATACATAATATAATTTTTCACAACATGGCATGGAAAATTCTCATAGATTGTTAACCGACTTCAAAAAGGAGGAGGTAATCATGTGATATAGAATTTACAATATCAATATTGTAGTTTGCCGTTGCTACATACCAACTACAACGATTTGTAGTATGTATTTCTTTTTGCAGTATGAGAATGACACGCGTGTATTATAGATCGTAATATTGCATACCAGGGATGTTGCGAATGTGGAATTTTAGACAGTATGCGAGTATGCGAATGCGAATGCGGATGTCATGTATTTTTAAGAAATAATTTGGATGGGTAAATTAGGTGATTTAGGTAAATAAAAAAAGGAAGGGTTAATAATTTTTAATAATCTGCCTTATCCTGAGGTTTGCCCGAAAAAAAAAATTCAGCCGAAAATTTGTATTCCGCCCATAGTAAATCTGCCTTATCCTGAGTTTCGCCCGAAAAAAAATCACTCGAAAATTTTTATTCCGCCCATAGTAAATACATGGAAACCAAAAGTGAAAAGTGAACCGGTTCGTGGAAAATAAAACTCATGATAAGGCAGAATATGTACATGAAAACCAAAAGTGAAAAGTGAACCGGTTCGGGGAAAATTCCTCTCATGATAAGACTGAATGTTTTTTTAGTACTAGAAAATAAAAAAATTGGAACATTGTACTTAATAAAAACTTTTCGAAGGGTCGTAAATCAAACCTGCGCCTCTATATAACTACTCGCTCGAGGCGACAAACTTGAAAAACTTGAAAATTGGCAAAATTGTAAATTCTTTTCGACTGACACTGCACCAGTTGAGAGGACTTTCAGTTATATTTATTTATTTTTATTGCGGTGCAATAGTTACTTTTTGAGAATTTCATCGGGGCTGCAAATGTCGGATGTATCCTCCTGACTTTCATCTTCACAATCTAGCATCATGGTACAATCGTTGTTTAGACACCGTTTTTTTCCAAAGAATTCTTTTGGTTGTTTCGGAATTTGGAGAAACTGTCATGTCATCAGCGTTTTTCGATTTTAGTTTTTGTAACTCATTTTTAATGCTTTCTTCTGTGACTGGTTCGATATACGTCTGTGCACTTGCACAATATTCCAGGGACCAAATATAACCAAATATCCAAATTAAACAAATTTGGTATCATATGAAAGAGGACTGAAATAGCTTTTAAACAGAGATAACGAATGAAGGTTACCACCTCTATTTAAATTTTTTTATAACTTAATACTAAAGAAATTCATGTAAATACATATCTGACCCAATGTTTGTTCTATGGTAATTAATTAACATTTTTTATTGAAATATTTTTCAATGTGTGGCTTTCCTCGTTTCGACATTTCAGTTTTAAAGCTATTTCAGTCCTCTTTCATTGGATACCAAACTTGTTTAATTTGGATAAGCGGTTTGTTTATTATCCGGATAGGACGTTTATTTCGGATCAAAAAATAGTTGGCCAAGTTTAAATCGTAAAAAAAAAATAACTGTAATTTTCGGTCCCTTCAATATTCGCATTCGCAAAAGATCCGCATTGTTTTTGCAAATGCGAAAGCGGATGCAAATGTTAAAATTAATGCGGAAGCTCCGCGGTTGCGAATGCGAATGCGAATATTCGCAACAACCCTGTTGCATACTACGATGTGTGTCTCTAGCATTAATCCAACTTGACTTTTTGAGCAGGTAGTTTGAAATAAAGGCTTTTCAAAAACATTTTGATACCCATATTGTAATACACGGTGCTGCTGAACCTAAAATAAATGAAACATCCTACACGTAGATATTTTCAAGAATTTCAACTTAAAATATTTTTGCAAGGAGCTCTAAAAATATTTTATTGATGGATAATAACACAATGTTGAATATTGACAGTATGAATGATGTATTTATTTCTAGTGCTATGTCAAATGGTGGCTTGTCTCAATTTGTTCCACGTACTTCTGATTCATATCTGGGTGTACCGTTTGAATTTTATACCGTAACAGAATATGATGTGGCTAGATAATAATAATAATAAATCGGCGCTTAAATATATTTATGTTAGCGTTTGGCTGAGCTTCTCCTCCGATTTGTGGCGTGCGCCTTGATGTTGACACACAAAGCGGAGGGACCTACAGTTTTACGCCGACTCCGAACGGTGATTATATTTTTATGAGAAGCTGCTTTTCATGGCAGAAATACACTCGGAGGTTTGACATGGTCTGCCGAGGGGCGACCGCTGTTAAGAAAGAACCTTTTTTCTATATATTTTGCTATGTTGCTTTGACCAGGGTTTGAACCCAGGCAGTGCGGAGTGGAAGCGCGCACTGCTTACCACTACACCACAGCGACGATGTGGCTAGATGCATACTGAAAATTAAATGTAATGCAGTCGGTGAGGATGGTATACCCATACGAGTCGTAAAGCTGACTCACATTATCAATCACTGCATCACTAAATCTTGGTTCCAAAACTGTGTTTACTAGAATTCTACGAAGCCTTTGAATCCGTAGGTCATACATTGCTCTGCTCAAAGCTCACATACTACTTCGGAATTGGCAAA